TTACTTGCTATGGTCTACTCAGATTTTCTGTTATCTTCCTGAAACCGTTTTGATAATTTGTCTTTCTAAAAATGTGTCCATTTTGTCTAGGTTAGCAAATGTGTTGGTATGTAATAATTTGTGTTATTTATTCTTTTATAATTCTTTTTATTTTTATGAAGTCAGTAGAATGCCCCCTCTTCATTCCTGACTTCAGTGAGTATTTTTTTCTTCTTGGTCATTCTAACCACAGATTTATCAACTGTGTTGATCTTTTCAAAGGAACAATTTTGTTTTGTTGGTTTTTCTCTAATGTGTTTTGAATCTCTACTTCGTTTATTTCGGCTATAATATATTTATTATTTCCTTTCTTCTGCTTGCTTTGGGTTTAGTCTGCACTTCTTTTTTCTAGTTTTTTTTAAGGTCAAAGATTAGGTTACAGAATTGAGACCTTTCTTTCTTTTTACTGTTTACAGCTATATTTCCCTCTAAGCACTGCTTTCACTGCATCTCATAAGTTTTGGAATGTGGTACTTTTGTTTTCATTTATCTCAGATATTTTCTAATTTATTTCTTGACCCATTAGTTATTTAGGAGTACAGTCACTACCAGCCCTTTTGGTTGCTGTTTACATGGTTGTCTATTTTATCATCTTCTTACTTTCAACTTGTGTCACTGAATGTAAAGCGTGTCTCTTCTAGGCCGCGTATAATTGATGTCTTATATTCATTCTATTAATCTTTATCTTGTAATTATAGAGTTTAATCTACTTACATTTAATGTAATTACTGATAAGGTAAAATTTACATCTGCTGTTTGTTTTCTATCTGCCATATCTTTTTTATTTCTCTAGTCCTCCATTCCTGGCTTATTTTGTGTTAGATATTTTCTAGGGTACCATTTTAATTCTCATTGTCATTTCTTTTATATTTTATAGTTATTTTCTCAGTGTTTGTCCTGGGGATTACAATTAACACCTTAATTTGTATCAATCTAGTTCAGATTAATAAAACAAAATTTCAATGCTATGCAAAATCTTTTCTCCTATGTAGCTCTATTTCCTGTACCTTTGTGCAGTCATAAATTATTTTTATGCACACATGGTCCTTATCAACGTAATTTGTAATTGCAGCTTTATGCAGCTTTTATTTTTTATTTATTTTTAAATATTTATTTCTGAGAGAGAGAAAGAGCACAAGCAGGGGAGGGGCGAAGAGAGAGAGGGAGACACAGAATCTGAAACAGGCTCCAGGCTCCGAGCTGTCAGCACAGAGCCCAACGTGCGGCTCGAACCCACAAACCATGAGATCATGACCTGAGTTAAAGTCAGATGCTTAACCGACTGAGCCACCCAGGCACCCCATGCAGCTGTCTTTTAAATCAGACAGGAGTAAAAAAGAGTTACAGAAATACATTTACATATTGTCCTTTAAATTTACTTTGCTGTTACCTTTACTGCTGCTCTTTATTTCTTCATGTGCATTTGAGTTATTGTCTAATGTTCTCTTGTCAGTCTGAAGGACTCCCTTTAGTATTTCTTGTAGGGCAGGTCTGCTAGTGACAAGTTCTCTCAGTTTTGGTTATTCTGAGAATGTCTTAATTTGTCCTTCATTTTTGAAGGGTAATTATCCTGGATAAAGTATTCTTGATTGATATCATTTTTCTTTCAACACCTTGAATAGGTCAAATCTACTACCTTCTGATCTCCACTGGACTCTGATGAGAAACTAGCTGTCAATTTTATTTAGGATTCCTTGTACATGGTGATAGTTGTTTCTTTCTGCTTTGAAGGTTCTTTTTTGTCTTTTGATAGTTTGCTTATAACGTGCGTACATTAGATCTCTTTGAATTTATTCTACTTGGTGTTGAACTTTTTTTTTTTTTTTAAAGATTTTATTTATTTAGAGTGTGTGTGTGAGCAGGGGAGGAGGAGGGGAAGAGGAAGAGGGAGACAGAGAATCTTAAGCAGGCTCCATGCCCAGTGTAGGGCCGACATGGGGTTCAACCTCACAACCATGAGATCATGACCTGAGCTGAAATCAACAGTTGGAAGCTTAAATGACTGATCCACCCAGTCACCCTGGTGTTGAGGGTTTTTTTGTTTGTTTTGTTTTTGGTTTTGAAGTTTATTTATTTTGAGAGAGAGAGTGTGAGTGGCGAAGCGGCAGAGAGAGGGGAGAGAGATGGAGAGAATCTCAAGCAGGCTCCATGCTCAACATGGAGCCCGATGCGGGGCTGGATCCCATGAACCATGGGATCATGACCTGAGCTGAAATCAAGAGTCAGATGTTTAACTGAGTCACCCAGGCAGCCCCTGGTGTTGAGCTTTTTGAATTCGTACATTAACATTTTTCAAACTTGGTCAGTTTTCAGTCATAGGTCTTCAAATATTCTTTCTGTCCCCCTTTCTCTTCTCCTTCCAGGCTTTCCCTTATGTGTATGCTGGTATGTCTGATTATGTCACACAGGTCTCTCTGTGAGTCTCTCCCACCTCCAACACACATTCCTTAGGCTGGCTACTCACAATGGACATATTTTCAAGCTCACTGATTTTTTCTTCTGCCTACTGAAATCTAATATTGAGACCCTCTATTTCAGCTATTTATTGTACTTTCCAAATCAAAGATTTCCATTTGCTTTTTAAAATATAATTTCTAAATAATTTATTGATATCTTTATTTAGTGAGGCATTCAAAAATACTTTCATTTAATTTTTTAGACATGGCTTCCTTTAGCTCCTTGAACATAATTTAAGGTCTTTGTCTGGTAAGCCCTATATCCTTGAAGAAGGACAGTTTCTACTGATTGTTTTTCCTGTGTATGGGCCATACATAGCTTTTGTACGTATCAAAACCTTTTGTTGAAAATTAGACATTTTAAATAATATAACACAGTTCTGGAAATCAGATTCATCTCCCTCCCCAGATTTGCTGTCATTGCTACTTGTTACAGAATTCTGAATGAATAGAATAACAAATTCTGTAAAGTCTGCATATTTTGCCATGTGTGGTCAATGAAATTTTTTTACTCAGCTTAGCAGCTGGCTAATGATTAGACATTTCCTCAAACCCCCGTAACAACAACAACAATAACCACAACAACATAAAATGTCCCAGTTTTTGACAAGGGGCTGTGTGTGTATGTGTTAAGGTATGCCTTCCTAACAGCCTAGCAGTTGAAGACTAGCTTCCACTTGTTTGTACAGCCTCAAAATTAGCCACAGGTGAGAGCTTAGGGTGGCCTTAGGTCTTTCACAGGTGGCAACAGCCCCGTGTGTGCATATAACATTGTAGATTCCTAGAACTATGTAAGAGCTTTTCAAAGCTCCTGTGGATATCGATTCCCTCGGCTTTTCCTTTTCAACTCTTTGGTTAGTCTATTTGCTTGACTCAGCTCTTATCAATCACCTAAGGCAAGTGCAACATTAATAGTCTTGCCTATAAATGTTTTTAACAAACACCCCTCCAATGAGAGTACTTTTTACACTGGGTCCACTCTGAGTTAGTTCACCTACAGACAGCCTTATAAATGAGGTATTCCAGGAAACCATCAGGCAGGCCAAACAATGGCATCTCTTTGGGAATGAGGCTTCGAAAGAGCTCTAGCTTTGTTTTGTTCTCTCTGGTGACTAATAGATTGCATTGGGAATGTGGACTGTTAACCATCTGCTACTGCAGAGCTGGAATGAGGAATGGCATTAGAGCAAGTTAAAATGTCACAACGGTCACTGTTCTTACAGGTCCTTCCTCTGCCATTTTCACTGACATCAGTTAGTAAAAGCTATTTGACCACTTACTGTCTAATCCTATTAGTTGCCTAACTGCAGGCAATTGACAGACTTCTTCCCATGCCTACACATTTATTGCTACCTAGAGGTGGACTGAGACAAATGCCTTCAACAGAATCTCCTATCCCTTGATTTCTCCTCATTCACATTTTCTCAGATTTTAGCATTTCTTACCATGAATATCAGAACCACAAGCTACTTTTCTCTCCTGTGTGCTGGGTCCTGTCATCTTTGTGGCAGACATAAGGGCTCAAAAGCAGGTTATACAAGAAGCAGGTCATGTAAAAAACTTACCTATCAACATAAAAAATGCACTTTGATTATTTCTACTAGGTCTGAGACAGTGTTACTCATAGCACCCGCTATTATTTTGGGTACCAGAAATGAACTTCCCATTTTGGTGGTGGGGGGGGGTTGGCCAACTATTACATTAGCATAGAGTTCAAGTTTGAGAGCTTAGTGCTAACCTGTCCAACCTTAAGCATTGTGCCATCTTCATTTTTAGTTGGAAGGTCAAGCAAGTTACATGCCATGGACTGGGGAAGGTTGACCCAGCAGGCATCCAAGAAACACTTTCAATCAACCCAGATCAAATGATAATCGATCCCTAGGTTGACCTATGACATGCTTTTGGGTCAGTTAGCCTCAGCAGAATCCCCTGGTTTACTTTTGTGGATTAGCTCACCCTCTCAATCTATCCTTTCCTGCTTTTATTATTTTGTTACTTCAACATTCTTCCACTTTCTCAGCAAAATCTGTGTCTCACATCAGAACTTTTGTGTAATCCCCTGGTGCACAAATGGCAAAGCATTCTTTATCCTCAAGGACCTCTCCCTCCTATCCAGTTATTCTCACAAATCCTTCTTTACAAAGTAATCACGTTGTCATCTTTCTTGTCTGTCTCCCCAACTAAAACATGAGCTTCTTGATGGCAGTGACCTCACCAGGTTTATTATTGTATCCCTGGTACTGCTCCAGTATTTAAACAGTATTTGTCACAGTCTATGTACTTAAGAAGTGTTTGCTAAAGGGCTAAATAGGCCTTAAAAGTAAAAATGTGGGGCGCCTCGGTGGCTCAGTCGGTTCAATGTCTGACTTTGGCTCAGGTCATGATCTCACTGTTCGTGAGTTTGAGCCCCACGTCGGGCTCTGTCCTGACAAGCTCAGAGCCTGGAGCCTGCTTCGGATTCTGTGTCTCCCCCTCTCTCTGCCCCTCCCCCATTCATACTCTGTCTCTCTCAAAAATAAAATATTAAAAAAAAAGTGAAAATGCAGTTTTTCTTAAAGTTTAGAGAAGGGTAAAGAAAAGAAAATATTTTAAGATTAAACTACTGGCTTTTCTAATTAAGGAAATAGCACTTGAGCCTGTATTTCAGTCCTAATTTAAGAGAGAAGACCACTAAAAATCTTAAGTGCAAGAGAGTAAAATAACCATAAAGAAATGAGAACACAAAAAAGAAAAATGAAGTGGAGAAATGGAGACTTACACAAGTGCTGGAGAGGGTGAGATGGAAAAATGATCTAGATAGAGTGGAGCACTTTATACACTAGTTTTTTTTTTTTTTTGTTTTTTGTTTTTTTTTTTGCCTTAAAAGTAAGTCACTTAGCCAAGCTTTACTTTCTATCTTCCATTAGACTGGGCTCTGGTTTGAAAGGGATGGTCACAGTTAAGATCCAAAAGGGGACTGGTACTGCATTCTTCTGGAGTTTTAGGTAGGCAAAGAGTTGACTTCTCCACCTCTGGAAAAGGACAAATCCAACACCTAACCGATCAGTTCTGCACTGTCAAAAACTTTACAATTCAAAATAAAGTTTTGCTACCCAGTTTTATATCTGAACCACCTACACCACCAGAAGGGGGACCACAAGAAAGGAAGGAGCCAGAAAACAAGACTACCAAGAATGCCCATGGACAAATTGCAAACAATGACAGACTGGTTGACTCATCATTTCAGGGCTAAGTGAATTGTGGGAACTGAACTCAAACTATCCCTCCCCAGTGGGCAGAGCCAAATGGCCCCATCCCACTGAGGCTGGAGTTGGCCATATGACTTGCTCTGGCCAGTGGAGTATTAGCACATGTGACGCATGCAGAAGCATAAACTGTGTTTGTGTGATTAGGCTTGCCTTGGTTGTGCTTTTGTCGTCATCACTGAGAACTTCTGGACAACTTCTGCAGTCTAGTCCAAGTCCGAAGAACACAGATGGAGCAGACCCGAGCTCAACTCATGGCAAGTAGTCAAGCTCAGCCAGATCTCCAGCTTGAAGCAGTCACCCAGCCAAGCCTGTCAGCCAACCTGCAAAAGCATGAGTGAGAACGATTATTTTAAGTTGAGCAGATTTGGGGCAGCAATAGCAACTGAAACCTAAGTACGTATCATTCTCTTAGACTCATCGCAAGGGCAAATCTTGTTCCCTTTTCCTTCACTGCAACATGCCCAGAACCTAGCAGTTTCTGTACAGAGCAGATGTTCAAAAAACATCTGTTGTGGTCACATTTATGTTTCTTCTAAAACTGGGGACGGAGGAGAATAACACTGAAAGGCACTTACATAATTGAGTTGTCAGGAATGTGGTCCAACTTGAAAATCACCAATTTCAGCAAAGACCAGAAAGCATGTTAGAGATCATTAGTTGGATAAGAGCACAGACAATGGAAATGACTGCTGGGATTTAAATTTAGGCTTCAGGAATTACTGGCCAGGCAATTCTGGGGAAAAGTCACTTCACCTCTCTGCCTCATTCCTCACCTGTTAAATGGTACTATTAATAGTACCTACCTCATAGGATAGTTCGTGGATTAAGAGATGTACTTCAGTTTCTTACAACCTCGCCTTGTACATGACAAACACTGTACAGGCATTTTGACTTATCATTACCAGCATAAGATGATTTTGAGGAAGGTTATTAAAGTCCTTTTTGCCTGCTCCTCCAGTCACCTATTTATATCTATTTGTTCTCACTTTTGTAGCTCACCTCCGTGCATGTGTGTAATTAGCTCTTTTGTAGATCTGCACGGTCTTTTTGTGCTCTGGAGTGCTAAGTGCTAACACCTATTCCATCCTCTCCCTTTCACCAGCCATTTTACAAACTACTGATTTTGCTCTTCTCACCTAGGCTAATATTTGCCCCTCTCCACCTGCCCAAAATATAGCTGTTCCTCCATGTCCAGTCTCAAGGTCATCTCTCCCAGAAAGCCTGTTTTGATCTTCCTTTTGTTCTCTGACCTCCCCTAGCAGTTCATCTCAATTATACTTTTGTCCTTTCTATTTTCAGGTATATGTCTTTCCATGATGAGATGAGAACTCCTAGAGGATACCACCATGCCTTCTAGGTTCACTTTCTGCCCATCCCCACCCTCAAGTATATGGCAGGCAAGCAATAAATATTTGTTGAGTGAATATTTGAAAAACCCCATTAGGCTCATCTAAATTCTAAAACAGCTTTTGTGAGAAGTCAAGTTTTTAAAGAAGGGTAAAAACTAGTCAGAATACTAATTAGCCATTAAAAGATAAAGAAGTTTGAAAAAAAAAAGTTTGCATGTAAAAATGAAAGACACTTGATTTATTGCATTAAAAAACTTTATTTCATTTAAAAGGTCCAATATAAGCCAAATTAAACCCCAAATTGACAGCTACACTTAGAGATCTCCTGAACTAAATGGCACTGTTTGAGATGAGTGTCTTGTTAAAGGAAGTCATTTGCTATTACCACCATTTCCCCCAAAGTAGTTCTAGAGCAGAAGCTGGTTTTACTATAATACACATCAGATATTTCAGATGTCATCTTCCATGCAGAAGTTAAAAAAGCAAACAGGCTCTTCTATTCTGTATGAGGATAAAAACCACTTCAGAGCAGGGCCTGAATGCTTTTAACATACAAGGTGTAACTGTAAAGGAACTTACTGTGGCCCTGTGTTCATTCACTGAAGCTGTCCATGTATGTACTCCAACCATACTAGTGTTGCTCAAATCCTATTTGGACCAGTAGCTTGGGATTTCCCCTCATTAGGTTCAGACCATAGAAATGGCTGATCAGTTGGGGACAGACTATCACAAAATGCGATCACAAAGCAAGGAAACAGATTTCCTAGTGGGCAAGCAATTGAAATAACCACCTCACAAACAATTTCAGCAGTGGCATCATTTACATAAAGTGATGCAAGATCTAAGTTTTGGTGTGTGTGAGGAGAAATTAAAAACAGCTTGTTACTTTATAGCTACACCTTGGATTTCATTAGATGGGTAAATCTAACTGTGTTTAATGAGTCCTTCTGGAAATCACTTCAGCAGGTAAGTCAAACAGCCTGTAAAAGAGAAGACATGGCAGAGGGCGTAAGATTCATCCTTCCAACGTTCTCAGCGTTCTCTTGGAGGACAGACCCGGGCACAAGGACAGAAGTTACCGGGAGGGAGGCTTCAACTCCATCTAAGGAAGACCTTTCTAACAGTTAGAGCTGCTCAACAACTGAATGGACTGCTTGGTGAGGTAGAGTCACTGGAAGTGTTCAAGGTGGAAAGATCACCCTTGTAGAAGGGACTCCTGCATTTTGTTAAGAGGTTAGACTGGATGAACCTCAGGTCTCTTTCAATTCTGAGATTCTAGAAAATTCCCTCAGGGAATTCAGAAGAGAATTCCTAAAAGGAAAGAGAAAGCACACATATGTATACTTTTAGAATCCTCTTGAGTTTTTTTTCATTTTTTTCAAAAGGTACAATAGAAAATGTAGTCCACTGTCTTTAAAATGCATATTCACCTTCCTACCACTAACAATTAGGAAGGGTCCATTATGACTTCTTTATATTATAAAGAAAAGATGGAGGATTACATTTATAATTTCTGTAAATATTTTAGAAAAAAAATGCTTAAAATCTAGTAGTCAATGCCCTAGAAACTTTATAGATTTTTAGGTAATATGCACAGATACAAATACATTATTCATTAAATACAACTCACATCTGTGTTTTATTATACTCTAAAATATACAGGTATCTTGATGTACTGAAAGAGTGCAAGTAAATACAGTATTCAAGCAGTCACTATTTCTATGTACATGCTCATTAATTCTTCAAAAACCCCACAAAATTATCAAATAGATCAAAATACTGTTCTGTGTTTTCACACTTTATATTCAGAAAAACCAGCTGATAATTTACAATGCCATAAAGTTTCCAGTTGCACAATACAAAAAGGATAAAATGAAATTGGGTATCATTCTGTGAAAATTTATGGAACTTCACCCAGATCTGTAACACCCCCTACATACGTGAAATCATTCTTACTGGGAAAGTGACAGTTACAGTAAAAGCAGAACCATATAAATGGTTATTTAAAAACCTAAACATCAGCCTTTCTGTTATTTGAAAGGCAGTCTTCCATTTCGGCAGGCAACTGCTTCCTTCCCCAAGTAGTAGCATGTTTAAATCTGAATAGGACCCAATACAGAAATGCCTTCCAAGAGACCCGATGATGTTAACGTATCAATAACAAGGGATTTTCTTTTGATTATTCACCAAACAGTGAAAACAAAAATCCCCCAATCCATTGTGGAGGCACAAAAGTAACATAAGAGACAAAGCTGTACCATCCAAAGTAGTGAGGTTGAAAACTCCATTTCCCAGGACCATATAGCTGCAATAGGGTGAAAATAATCTACTTTTTTGATTTCACGAAATTTTCTTCTTCTAAGAAATTCTTTACATTTTGAAACAAAAATAGTTCAATTTTAAACCTAAACCATTCAAAAGTGGGCAACAACAGCCCGACTCCAATCTATCGCATGTCAACATCACCAGTATTTTCACCCTGACTGCACTCAGTCAGCTGGTTTTTAATTCTAATATTATAAAAGTTGGAATTTTTAAATTTTTATGTAAAAGAAAAAATGTAAAAATACATCTGCTTTCTCTCATGGTTTAATACAGTATTCGAAGGCTTTCAGATGTTTTCTTAAAAAAAAAAAATCAACGTTTAAAACCAAATCTCAGCTTCATTTTCAGAAATATTAAAGTTTGGTTTAGATAATGTCTCATTTCACCTATTCCAGTTTCCACAAAATGGCATTCTATTAAAAAACTTTTAAGTTACTTGGTCCTTTGGCAATTTGCTGTGCACATAATGCCTACTATACCAAACTTTTATTGCCCTTAAATTTAGTTGTAGTTTTATTGGTAAATTTTTAATCTAGTGTCCTTATCTCTTCTTTTAGAATAGTGTTGCTTGTGTAAGCAGATTAGGGTGCACAGTGTCCCAAATTATTCCTGGCACTGCAAAACCAAATTAAACAACTCCACAAAGTAACTTGACATCAAAGTGTTTTTCTCTGGTCAAGTCTATTTCAAGATTCTAGAAGTTCCTTTTGCAAAACTTGCCTTTAAAACTCTTCTTCCTAATGTATCACATTTCTCATACTTGCTCACTCTGTGATCTCTCCTTTTAGGTTGAATTTGTACGTGAATAAGAAAGTGCCTTTTTCCTGAAAAAGCACAATCTGAAGCGTTAGCGTCAGAACTCCTCACTTAGACCTCTGGCTCAGCCTCTTAGTAGGTCTCGGAATCAGAGTCATTGAGCTCGTCCACATCGGTGTATAAGTACTCCTGTTCCCCGCCAATGTTGTTGAAACTGCAATAGGAGCTAGGTTCATTCCTCATGATGGGCAAGGCTTCAAAGCTGACTGTTTTTGAGGTGTTGGTATAACGGTTAATGGCATTGAATGTCAGGGATGATAAAGGGCTACTTGATGAGACAGGCATCATGGTGGCCAAAATGAGAGCCAGGCAATCAGCCACATCCTTATTGGGAGCACAGGCCAAAGCTGGGGTATAGCCTAGAATTAAAGATAAAATTTAAATAATTAGACATCCTGAGACCCACTGCATGGATATAAGGAAATAAGCTCAAATGGCCTTCAATTTCAGACATGTTTTAAATTACCTGGTTTATAATGAACTGTTTAGTTAAAACGATTTAGAAAATTTCCACTCAGTAGAAAAGAGAAAAGTCATAGAAATCTAGTATGAGAGGAGACCTTAGTTACGTTATAGAAGAGGAAAGAAACTGAGGCCCGGAGATGGTGATTGCTTCAAGATCCCAAAACTTAAACCATATCCACCTGAGTTCACAGAAGATACTGAGCTAGAATTTAAAAACAAAAACAAAAACAAAAACACCTAAGACTGATAAAGCTTCCTTCAGAATGCCAGAAGAATCTTAATCATTAATTTATAGTTACTTAAGAGTTTACATGCTGAGAAACCTAAAAGTGTACACATTCATGAATGAGGCACTGAGCAGGCGCCCAAAGATGGGTATTGAATGAAAGACAGTTGGCTATCGATCAACTTTTTGGTAAACTTTATTATTATTATCTTTAATGTATTTATTTTGAGAGAAAGAGAGAGAAAATCCCAAGCAGACCCTATGCTGTCAGTGTGGAGACCTACCTAGGGCTTGAACCCATGAACTGAGATCATGACCTAAGTCAAAACCGAGAGTTGGATGCTTAGCTGACTGAGCTAACCAGGCGCCCCAAAACAGGTAAACTTTAAAAACTCCTAAGCCAAAACAAATGTTTTGCTTTCAACTGTTTCTTTCGTTAGAAGACTGACTAAGCTTAGCCTTCAGGCACTGCAAAGTATCAACAAACTGAGTAAGTAAACATTTGGTACCCCGGCTGGTACAAGACCCTGAGGATGAAGTGAAAGAGAAGATGGGGAGAGCACACAATACGATGCTCAGTTTAGATCACCCCATATGAAACTTTAGCAGCAAATGTCTTAAAGTTTTAATATACAGCTTCATTTTTGTTGCACATTTGGACACAGTTTTCCCTATTACTATATACACTCATGTTTTAGCTTTCACACTCATATATGTACAAGCCGACCCTTGAACAATGTGGTGGGAAGCTAGGGGCATTGACCCCTGCATAGTTCAAAATCTGTAACTTTTTAAAAAAATTTTGAGAGAGAGCAAGAACACGAGGGAGGGGAAGAGAGAGGGAGAGAGAGAATTCCAAGCAGGCTCTGCGCTGTCAATGCAGAGCCTGACGTGGGGCTGGGAACTCATGAACTGTGAGATCATGATCTGAGCCAAAATCAAGAGTCGGACACTTAACCAACTGAGCCACCCATGTACCCCGAAAATTTGTGTGTAACTTTTGACATCCCAAAACGTAACTCTGAATAGTCTACTGTTGACTGGAAGCCTTACCAATAACACGTAACAGTTAATCAACACATATTTTGTATGTTATATTGTACTATAAACTGTATTCTTATAAGAAAGTAAGCTAGAGAAAAAAGTCCTAAGAAAATACATTTATAGTACTGTAAAAAAATCCATGTTATTAAATGACATGTGGTTCAAACCTATGTTGTTCAAGGGCCAGCTGTATATATTTTGTAAACTTGTATTTGTTTTTTATTTTTTTATTTTTTTTATTTAAAAAAAATTTTTTAACATTTATTCACTTTTGAGAGAGAGAGAGAGAGAGACAGAGCACAAGTGGGGGAGGGGCAGAAAGAGAGGGAGACGCAGGATGAGAAGCAGGCTCCAGGCTCTGAGCTGTCAGCACAGAGCCCAATACGGGGCTTGAACTCATGAGCTGTGAGATCATGACCTGAGCCGAAGTCGGACGCCTAACCGACTGAGCCACCCAGGCGCCCCTCGTATTTGC